GACTCGGGCAGCTTCGGGGGGTGCCCCTTCCGGGGGGACGGCAGAGGCATTCGAGTCTTGTCACTCTGCCGAAGCTTTTGGGTCTGACCAGTGGGCCCCCCTTCCTCCAGCTTTTCCGGCTGCTCTGTCCTTGTCTTGTGGGGTCGGGCTTGGGGAGAGGACTCGGCCTCGGGTCCTGTGGTGAACGACCTCGAGGCTGGGGAGGGGCTGACTTGGGGGCCTTGGGCCCCGCTGGACCCCGCCTGGGTTTTTCTTCCCTCTGAGCGGGGCTTATTGTTACAAGGAGTGGGGTTTTCTTTTCCCCCCTCTGCGTACGAGCTGGATTTGGTGTCGGCCCCTCCCCGGGTTCGGTTCCGTGTTCTCCCGGGTACGTCGGTTCCGTTCTTCCGGAGGTTTCCGGCTTATCGCATCCAACCTGGTGTGGTGTGAGCGGCCTTTGCAGCTTACCTCCTGCGTGACCCGGATTATGCCTCGGAAATGGATCCGTCCGAATTCAGGTTTGGGACTTCGTTCCCTTTCTGGCTCCGTTACGAGGTTCCGGAGTCGTCCTGGCTAGTAGACTGCCCCTTGTTTGTTCTGGATTCCTGGCATTCCTTCTGTTGTTCCCGCACGCTGGAGTGGCGGGAAGCTTCCACGGTGCTTCAGGTTTTCCTGGGGGGCGAGCTTGAGTACCTGAATGAGTGCTTGTTTGCCCCTGCCCTTCCCCACGATGTAGGCGTTATTCAGCTCCATGTGCAAGTTCCCACCCTTTCGGCGGCACTCGTTGCGGAGGACTTGCGCGCCCGGGGCCTTTTGGCTTCGGCCTTGCAGTTCTTTTCCCTCCTGGAGCTGTCTTCGGATTTGCTCGTGGAGGATGTGAGGACGTTTGGGTTTGTCCCGGGGTCCTTCACCTTGTCCTCGGCTGCGCATTCGTCAGCTGCTTTTTTGAAGCTGTTCACGCCGATTTTGCAGGATGCGGTTTCCCTGTTTTATGCTTCCCGTCTCGCGTGTCGGCAGACGGTGCTGGGTTCCTCTGTGGAATCTGCTTGGGCTCTGGCTCTTAGGCGTTCTTCACCTTTTTGTCCTCTTCTGTTTGAGGAGTCGGCCGTGGCGCAGTTTATTCAGGCTGTGTCCGCGGCTTGTCGTCCGATGTCGGACTTGTTGGTTTTCCGGGGGTCCCGGGGTGGGTCTTCCCGGAGAGGTCGTGCCAGGGCTCGGGGTTCCTCTGGTCGTGGTAGGCCTCTGGTGTCAGGTTCGGGTTTTGCTCCTCCTGCGGACCCTCCCTCATCTGGTCGGCGCGGTGTTCACGCTGTGCGGGGTTCTGGGTCTCGTAAGGGTCGCCGGCCCTTTCGCGGTTTGCCCCATTGATGGGGCGATGGGGGGGCGGCTTGCACTGTTCGCCCGCGCCTGGTCCCACGATTCATGGGCCTTTCAGGTCGTGTCTCGCGGCCTGCGGTGGCGTTGGGTGGCCCCTCCCCCCTTGGGGGGGGGTCGGGTCTGGCAGGGCAGGTTTCTTTCCCTGCGCTCTGTCGAGTCGTCTTGGAGTGGGTACGCTTAGGTGTCGTCGAAACAATGTCGTCCCTCAGATGGGTTTCCCGTCTGTTTCCGGCTCCGAAACGGGACTGCGCGGACCTGCGGTTCATTCTGGACTTGTCCCGTCTGAACCTTTGGATTCATTGCCCCTCCTTTCGGATGACTACGCCTTCTCGGGTTCGGCTCCTCTTGGAGCCGGGAGCTTGGATGGTGTCCCTGGACCTCCGGGACGCTTATTGGCATGTCCCGATTCATCCACGGTTCAGGGACTGGCTCGGTTTTGTTGTGGGGCGTCTGAGTTCCCGCTTTCGTTGTCTCCCGTTCGGGTTGAACCTGGCACCTCGCGTGTTCACGCGCTTTACACGGGTTGTGGTGGCTCAATTGCGTCTCCTAGGTGTTCGGGTGTTGGCCTACCTCGACGACTGGCTGGTTTGGGCTCCCAGCCAGTCAGCTTGCTTGCTAGCCAGGGATTTGGTTCTTTCCCAGCTCGCCGAGTTCGGGTTCTTGGTGAACTGGAAGAAGTTCCATCTGGTTCCCTCTCAGGTTCGGACTTGGCTGGGTCTTGTTTGGGACTCTTGAACCGCCTCCTTGTCTCTCCCTCCTTGTCTCTCCTGCGGCTGCAGTCCCGCTTTCGTCTGTTTCTGGAGGGCCCTCGTGTCACCCGGCGGTTGCTCGAGGGGCTGTACGGGAGCCTGAACTTTGCAATGGTGGTCTACCCGCTGGGTCGGGTTTGGCTTCGACAGCTGTTCTGGTTCCTTCGGTGTTCCCCCTTCCGCCTCTCGCGATTGCAGAGTTCGACTCCCGGGGGCCTTGCGTCGGTTGCTGTGTCACCGGCTTCTTCTTCGGGTTTTTTGGGGTTCAGTGCCTTGGCGCCTATCCGAGCCCTCGCTCGATGTGTACACGGATCTGTACGTCGTCTCTCGGCTGGGGTTTTGTGACCAGTGTCCCAGGCCGGCCAAGGGCGTTGGGATCCGTCCTTCCGTCGAGCTCACAGCACAGTGCGGGAGTTCGCGGCAGTGTGGTTTGCTCTGGGGAGGATTCGGGTGGCCAGCGGTTCGACGATTCGGCTCCATTCGAACTGCTCTCCGGTGGTTCATTGCCTGAACCGCGGGGGTTCGATGCGGTCCTTGTCTCTTTGGGGTTGGTTGCTTCGGGTGACTCTGCTGAGTTCTCGGGGTTTGGCTCTCCTGGCGGTTCACGTACGGGGTGTGTCCAACGTCTTGGCCAATGCCCTGTCTCTCTTCGTTCCCCTCTCCACGGAGTGGACGGTAGACGACGAGTCCTTCCGTTGGCTTTGCCAGACGTTCGGGCGCCCCGAGGTGGACCTCTTCATGTCGGCGTGGTCGCGGGGTCTTCCCGTTTATGCGGCGCCCTTCCCCGATCGCAAGGCCGTCGGGGTCGATGCCTTTCGGCTAGACTGATCGAGGTTTGGGTTCCTGTACCTCTTTTCCCCGGTTCGGCTGTTGCTCCAGGTCCTGACTCGCTTAGAGACTTACCAGGGTAGAGTTGTCCTTCTGGCCCCTTGGTGGCTGGCCCAGCCTTGGTTTCAGGCGCTGGTTGCTCGGTGACCGAACCCGAGGGTTTTCCCGCGGCTCAGCCTCTTTCAGCAGATTGGGCCGGTACGTCACGTGGCAGGTTCGATCTTCTCCTTGAGTCTTCTCGTATGGGTTTTTTGACTCGAGTCTATCATCATCTCTATGGTGATCAGGTGGCCTCCTTGTTGGTGTCCCACCTGAGGGCTTCTTCTCGGCTGCAGTATGAAGTTTCCTGGCGGTCCTTCCATTTCTTTTTGCGTCTTCGTCGTGTTAGTTCCTTGTCTGTTCAGGTGGTCTTGTCCTTCCTCTCGTGGTTGTTTCAGGACCGTCATCTTATGCCTAACACTGTCGCCTCGTATCGTGCGGCGATGGCAGAGCCGCTTCAGCTTGCTTTCGGTATCGATGTTACGTCTGCTCTGTTACGCAAGCTGTCTCGTGCGTTGTTTCACCTCCGGCCTGCTCATGCGTCGCCTGAGCCGTCCTGGTCTTTAGACAAAGTGCTCGCTTTCCTTTCGTCTCCTCATTTCGTTGTGGCCCCTTCGGTCCAGGATTGTTTTTCCAAGGCTCTTGGAAAAACTTTTCTTGTTGGCTTTGGCCTCTGGGGGTCGGGTAGGGGAGCTTCATGCTCTCCTTCGGTGCAGGGGTTTCTGCTCTTTTGGTCGTGGTGATTGTTTTGTTCGTTTCCAGCCGTCTCCTTCTTTTCTGGCGTAGAATGAGACTGCTGCGTTCCGGAGGGGTCCATGGGTGGTTGATGCTTGGTTGGTCAGGCCGGAGGTGCATCATGTTTTGTGTCCGGTTGCGGCGCTTCGCCGTTATTTGCGCGCCACGGCTTCTGTGTCCGGGGACGCGCTGTGGGTTGATCCGGTTTCCCTTCTTCTCTGTTCGCGGGTTCGGGTCTCCCAGGTCGTCCGCAGGGTTATTAAGTCCAGCCAGCCTGCGGTCTATCCCCGTGCCCATGACGTTCGTAATTTCGCGACTCTTGCTGCCGTCTTTGGGAATATGTCTTGGTCTGATATTTGGGCGTGGGGATTTTGGTGATCGAACAGGGTCCTGGCTGCTCGTTACCTTGCGAATGTCCCTGGGCCCCGTCGGACCTGTGTTGCTTTGGGTCGCCGGTTGCAGCCAGTTGTCTCTGCTTCGAGTTGAGGAGTGAGCGACGACCCGGGTAAGTCCCTCTTTTTCCGTCTGTGGGTAGTTAGCTCCGGGGAGCCGACGGAGCTCCCCCCAGAAAACCAGCGTTGAATGTAATGAAATGCCATTTTCTGGGTGTGTCCCGGAGGCTCCCCGGCATCCATCCCTCCCTCCAGTCCGCGGTTTTTCGCATTTTTAACATTCCAGCCTCAAGAACTGAGGTGTGGGTAGCCGACGTGGAGGGTCTGGGGCTCCCCCTTCCCCCTCCCAGGGAAGGGGGAGCTGCGCAGACAGCGGCGCGGCGGTGTGTGACGTCACACTAGTTTGCTTGTTTTCGGTTGGGGAGTTCTATCCACTAGTTCAGCTTTTGGTAGCAATTTTAACCAGAATACTGGTTTGTTTTGAGGTGCTTACCTTTCTGGGTGCCTGTTCCGGTCAATGGCAGACATAGAATGCTTCCAACCACACGGGGACTTCTATAGGCCATTGCTTCCCTTGCCTCTCTGAGGGGGCTCGATTCTGGCCGTGGTCCCCGGTAGGCCTGAGAACTCCATACACATGACTGATGCCAAAGTCTGACATTAGCATATCAGCCTGGGATAGCTCCGGGGAGCCTCCGGGACTGACCCAGAAAATGGCGTTTCATTACATTCAACGCTGGTTTTTTATGTGCTTACAGTATGTGTATGTTTTGCTTTTATTGTGTGTGAAATGACTGTCATATGAGGACCTTTAATTTATGTTTAGACATCATGTTTTGTATGCATAGATGTCTTCTATTATTTGTGGATGTCATTTGTTGAAGACTAACAATTATTTCAGATAGCTAGTGGAAAATTGGCCACAAAACACTATACCGAGGGTGGTGAGGAGCCATTAGCCAAGCGTAAAAGCCCAAACAAAATAGAGCAACCCTCATTGCCCTTGCATTTCAGACCCGCAGATCTATCAAAAGTGGTAAAGGTATGTAAGATTACTTTGTTAGAGTGCAATTTTCATCTTTAATTTACTATGATATTTTAAATAATAATTCCAACTTTTAATATAATGAAAGATTTCTTTGTGGGGAACCCCCCCTCCTAAAACCAGCGTTGAATGTTATGGAACGCCATCTTCTGGGTGAGACACGGAGGCTTCCCGAGCTATCCAGGCTGATATGAATGTATTAGACCCTGGCATCAGTCAAAGCGAAGGAAGTTCTAAGGCCTACCGGGGACCACAAGCCAGAAGCTGGTCCCCTCAGAGAGGCACAAGGAGCAATGGCCTATTGAAAGCCCTGTGTGGTTGGAAGCATTCTATATCAGCCATCGACCGAGTCAGGTGCCCAGAAAAGTAAGCGCCTCAAAACAAACCTCAATTCTGATTAAGAAATTGCTACTGAAAGCTGAACTAGTGAACAGAACTCCCCAAATGAAAACAAGCAAATGAGCATGACGTTATCACATCACTGCACTGCTGTCTGCGCAGCTTCCCCCTCCTGGGGAGGGGGGAGCTGAAAAAAAATGCTAATCGGAGGAAGGGTTGCTGTGTAGCCTCCAGGTCTCACCCAGAAAATGGCGTTTCATTACATTCAACGCTGGTTTTCTTAGGGGGGGAGTCCCTTCAGCTCCTCAAAGCTACTTTCCCAAAAACAAACACAAGAGGGACTTACCAGGAAACGGTCGGCACTCGCACCTCAACTCGAAGTTGAGACAACTTGCTGCAACCTCCGACCCAACACGACACAGACCCAACTAGGCCCAGGAACACTAAAAAGGTAGCGAGCGGCCAGGACCCTGTTCAACCTCCAAAACCCCCCGCCCGAATGTCAGCCCAAGACATGTAACCAAAAACAGCAGCCAATGCAGCAAACTTATGAACGCCATGGGTACGGGGATAGACCACAGGCTGGCTGGACCGAATAACTCTGCAGACAATCTGAGAGACCCGAACCCTGAGAGACCCAAACCCTGAGAGACCCAAACCCTGAGAGACCCGAACCCTGGAACAGGGAAGAAGGGAAACCGGGTCAACACGAAGTGCGTCCCCGGCCACAGTGGCCGTGACGTGCAGGTAGCGGCTGAGAGTTGCGACCAGACACAACACATAGAGGCGGAGACAAATGGGCAGAGTCTCTTTTATCCTGATGCTCCTGTTACCTAGCAGTGAATAGGTACCTGGGAGCCAGATATCTGCTACGGGCTGCTTCCTGGGGGTTTGAAACAAAAAGGAGGCCTGGTTGAGGACCAGGCTACGGGGACGCTAAGCCCCGAAATCATCTCAAGGTAGCCCCAAGATATGATGCACCCCAGCCAAACAAACCAAGCATCAACAACCCAAGAACCCCTTCAGAAAGCAGCAGTCTCACTCTTCGCTAGAAAAGGAGATGGCTCCAAACGAACAAACCTACCACCAGGACCAAAAGAGCAGAAACACCTGCACCTGACCCCCCAGAGGCAAATGCCAACAAGAAAAGGGCCTTGGAGAAACTTTCCTGAACTGAAGGAGCCACCACAAACTGAGGGGAAGAGAGAAAAGAGAGCACCCGATCCAAGAACCAGTTCAGGCGGCACATGCGCAGTCCGCAGGTGAAACAACGCCCAAGACAGCTTGCGGAATGATGCAGATGTAACATCAATACCGAACGCAAGCTACAGTGTCTCCGCCAGTGCCGCACGATGCAAGGCGACAGTATTCAGCATAAGATGATGGTCCTGGAACAACCACAAAAGGAAGGACAAAACAACACGAACAGAGACTGAAGTAAACCGATGAAGGGACCAGAAATACCGGAAGGACTGCCAGGAAACTTCATACTGCCGCCGAGATGAAGCACGCAGGTGGGACACCATCAACGAAACCACCTGCTAACCATACAAGTGGTGACAGACTCGAGTCAGAAAGACGAGATGTGAAGTGAAGATCAGAGGAGAAGATCGAACCAACCACATAACGGAAGGATCCGATCTGCTGAAAGAGGCAGGGCCGAAGGAAGACCCCTGGGTTCAGATGCCGAGCAAGCAGCGCCTGAAACCAAGGCTTGGTTGGCCACCAAGGAGCCAAAGAGGACTACTCTCCCTTAGTAAGTCTCTAAGCAAGCTAGGACCTGGAGCAACAGCTTAACCGGGACGAAGAGGTACAGGTAACCCCACCTCGACCAGTCCTGCCGCAAGGCATTGACCCCAATGGCCTCGCAGTCGTGGAAGGGCACCACATATACCAGGAGACACCTTGACCACGCTGATGCGAAGAGATCTACCTCCAGGAGCCATTACATCTGTCAGAGTCAACTGAATGAGTTGGCATCGACCGTCCATTCTGTGGCCAGGGGAATGAACCAAGACAGGCTGTCCGCCAGGACGTTGGATACCCCCCGAACATGAATAACGAGGAGAGCCAAACCCCAAGAACTCAGCAGACGAGTCACACGAAGCGACCAGCCCCAAAGAGCAAAGGATTGCATTGAACCCCCTTGGTTCAGGCAGTGAACCATTGTGGAGCAGTCTGAACGGAGCCGGATCATTAATCTGTGAGCAACTAGAACGCTCTAAAGTGACATCCACACTGCTGCAAACTCCCGCATTGTGCTATGGGCCGGACGGAAGGATGAACCCCCACCACCCCTGGCTGGCCTGGAGAGAACTGGTCACAAAGCCCCAGCCTAGAGACGATGTGTCCATGAACACATTGAGCAAGGGCATGGGTAGGCACCAAGGCACTGAACCCTGAAAAATCCGAAGAGGAAGATGGCGACCCAACAGCTGACGCTGGCACCCGAAGCCTGAATACAGCAATCGTGAGAAAGAAGGAAAAGACGTCCTCGAAGAAACCAGATCAGCTGACGAAGCCAAACCCCAACCCGGCAGGTAGAACATCACGGCAAAGTTCAGGCTCCCACACAAACCCTTGAGCAATCGTTAGGTGACCCGGGAGCCCCCAAAAACAGGCATAGGTGGGACTGCAGCCGAAGCAGAGACTCCATGGGGAGAGGTAAGGAACAAGTCCGAGAGTCCCACACAAGACCCCCGAACCTGAGAGGGAGCCAGATGGGACTTCCTCCAGTTCTCCAGGAACCCGAACCCAGCGAGTTCAGAATGAACCTTAGGTCCGCACCGTATTGTTTCGGGACTAGAAACAGATGGGAAACCCACCTGAGAGATGTCATCGTTTCGACCACGCCAAAGCGCACCCACTCTGAGATGAACCGACAGAACGCAGGAAAAGTTTCTGCCCCACCAGCCCCGAACACCCCCCCACCCCTGCCCCCGAAGGAGGAGGGGCCACCCAACGACCTGAAAGGTCCACAAATCATGGGACCAGGCATGAGCAAACAGAGCGAGCCTCCCCCATCCCTCGCTCCATCAATGGGATAAACCGCAAAAGAGCCGACACCCCTTACGTGAACCCGACCTTCGCACAGAGCAATCACCGCGCAGATCAAACGAAAACGGTTGCGAAGGCTGTGCCTGCCCGAAACTGGCACCACTGGCCTACCCCGGCGGGAGGAACCCCTGGCTCTGGCACAACCCTTCCTGGGAAGACCTCCCACGCCCGCCTCCCCCCCCCCCCAAGAACTAACAAGTCCGACATTGGACGACAACTGGAAGAAGTCCCCTGCAGATACTGCCCAACCACAGAGTCCGTAAACAGCAAGGAACAAGAAGGCGATGAAAACCTATGAGCCAGGGCCCAAGCAGATTCCAAGGAGGTCCCAAGCACCGCCTGCCGACATGCAAGACAATAAACAGAAAACAAACACTGCATCCCGCAGGATCGGCGCGAACAGCTTTACCAGGGCATATGATGCACGCGCTGCCGAGACCAAGGCACCAGACCCAGGAACAGCCGGTTTGGCTGATACATTCATATCAGCCCAGATAGCTCGGGGACCTGAAGGGGCTCTCCCCAGAAAAACCAGTGTTGAATGTAATAAAACACGTATTTCTGGGTGAGCCCTAGTGACTCCCTGAAGCTATTATCACTGATTAAATGCCACACTACTTGGTGCCATCAGTCATGGAGTTCTTATTGGCTTACTAGGGATCACGAGTTAGAAACTGGTCCCCTCAGAGAGGTGCAGGGAGTGGTGGTCTTTGAACACTTTACATATAAAGTTAATCATGTCTGCCACTACCAGGAAAGCAACCAAAAAGTCAGAGAACCAAAATAAACCACTGCATGGTTATAAACAAGAAACGAGTATAAATCCTGCAAGCCAGAAGACACCTCCCTCCAGTTAATCATGAGGGAATGGCAAAACCCATGTCAAGCCCTCAGTGGAAACAAAGAACAGTCTGCCAGTCAGGATGACGCCAGGACCTCGTAACGCACCCAAAAGGGAAAGAAGAACCAAACTCAAAACAAGCTGGAACCATAACCAAGGCATAATTCGGGTCACAAAGAAGGTAAGCATTAAAGGCTTCCCAAGCCTCTACTGGGGGAACACAGGAGGAAGGAAGCACCCAAAGACACTCGGAAATGAACTTGTACCTAACTCAAACTTATACTGGTATGAGGATTAAGATAACCCCTCATCCAGCAACAAGAGTGTCTCTTATGTTGAGACTTCGCAAAAGGCATGAAGGCCCAAAAAAGGGTCAAACAGGACTCAAAGGCCCAAAACTGATTCCTCCTGAGCCACATTAACCACAGACGAGGGCCCTGGGGCCGAGTTCTCACCCACCCCCCACTGCCTAGGAAAAAAAAGCGGAGTCCAAGGAAAAGCTTTGGAGAAAGGAGTCGGCAGGGATGACCTAGAAGCTTACGTGCAATCGAGAGGCTTGACTTTTTCTGTACTCGTATTGGATGAACCACCCGTATGGTTCTTACTTCTGTTTGGCCTTGGGTAGAAGGTAGTATCGTTGCTGGCTGGGGTGCAAGGTACTGTGCAGCTGTCTGATATATGCATAGTGACTGGTTCTATTCCACGGAGATGTTGTGTTTTTGAGGGTTTTTTGTTTTGTTTTGTTTTGTTTTGCCTGGTT